AAGTGTAATCTCATTTTTTCCTTCGATATACGGATTCAAAATAGGCAAGTTTTCACTCTCCTCATTAATGGCAACCTTTGCTCTCTCCTCAATTAAGGTAGCCATAATTTCCGCCTGCTCACCCTCCTGAATAATGGAATTCGAAGCGTCCTTCTTCTCCCCTTCTGTGGGATTAGTAAATTCCATACTTTCAACATCATTTTGACATTCTGAAATAATTGGTGCTGCTGAAATCGAGGGGGCGATTAAAGATGGATGAATATACACCAGATCTGTCGCAACTGGAGTCTTTTCCTTTTCCATGTCTGTTGAGTTTTCTATCGCAATTAATTGCGACGTATCCACTTCTGCAGCTGGGTCCTTATCTTTCTCCATTAAATGCACTCCTCCGACGCTATTAATAGGAGGTGGCATAATTTCTGACGGTTCATCTCCCATAATTTCACAGAACCGCGCAACATCCATGGAGTTTTCAAGAGACTGTAAATCAGAATTGGTGAAGGACTGTTGATGAGCATTTACCCGACTCAATCCAACCAGCCGGACAGCATAATCACCTAGCTTTGCATCACTTATTCTGATCGAAGCGGGAATAAAGCCACTGCGGTTGGGTTTGACTTGGATGAATGCTGTCGTGCTATCAATAAGATTAAGTGTTTTGGAAGATATACTTACCAACCCACCACAGTGTCTTCCAATGGCTTCAAAAATTCCTTTCCTCCAATACATCAGAGGTAGATCAAGGACTTTGATCCATCCTCCATACCCAATGACAACATCCGCACGGCTATGCTTTTCAGAATGCCAGCCTTCAATCTTAACAAAAAAAWTCCCTACCTTCATCCAATGGCCAAACTGTYCGATGATATCCTTCCGCCTAGCAGCTTCAAACWYAATTAACCCTTTGTCAGCCAAAAAGGGGTTAATTATRCATCTCGAAGAGAAGTGAACTTGGACTGCGTTGGATAWTGCTTTCCAATCATCGTGCGCACAGCTTCGGGTAATCACTAAAGTCTCATCCCAACACATTTCCAGAACCTCATCATCCTTTCTAACCCAATGACTTGTTTGATTTTTCCACGAGTCATCAGGGAATGGAGCAGCTCTAGAGATTCCATCCATAACTGCCTCTTTGAACGTTCTCTTACTGATGTCAATTCCGGCTTTCATCTCAACATTCTGACGAAGTTTCCTCTGTTCTTTCTTGTAAGTCCCCTGGACCGTATTTAATTCAACCATCTTCCTTCTATCAGTTTCCAACCTGCGCGTCGTCTCCATTTGCTGAGCCTGATCCTCAGCATATCTGGCCGAAAAAGTTTTCAGCATTGTCCGAAAGCTTGCCAGCCCTCCATGTTCTTACCCACTGGAATTACCACACTCTTTCTTCCTCCTGTCGAAGGCCACACTATCCATTCCAAGAACCAGGCAAATTTGGACTTGAATTTTTGCATTCTACATTAATCAAGTGAATCTCGAGACTGATAAAAGAAACGAGCAGGAATCGGTGCCTGAAAAAGTCAGCCATATGTTGTTCAAACCACAAGAACTGAGCAGGTTGCAAAGGGATAAGGGTTTTCCTCTTAACATCTTCTAACATGAATTTTCCCTGTTCAACCCAAATACAGAAGAAATGTCCATTGATTCGACAACTGCTCACTTCCATGATTAACTAAACAGACGAAACTCTCTTAAATGATTCAAACAACACTAGATCAAAGTTGAAATCTTCACCGAACAGATAACTAGAGAAAAAAGAACAGAGAGGAGAGAGAACAGAGCATTTTCTACCAAGCTCTTGAACTTAAGACCGTAGTTTGCTGGGTTTTTTGTTGTTGTGTGGGGCAGTTTGCTTGAGAGGGATAGTAGGATTTTTTAGACGGGTTGAGAGGTCTTGGTAGTTTAATGTGATAGAGCTTACTCTATTATTTAGATACGAGAGGGAAATTAGAGTCTAAGGGAGTATTTGAGAGCTCCCTAATCTCTCCCACAATTCCTCAACGGAAATACAATCAGCAAAAAGATACCCCTTCCCTCTCAAGAGTAACACATATATAATTGCCTTCCTCTCTCCGTAACTAACTCAATCTCCCCACTATAACAATCCTGTCAATACCAAAACGTCTTCTAACTAACTAGGGCCCACTTGAATATTCTCTCTCCCTTTATTACCCTTCCTCCTAAAATATTTCTTTATGATCGGGGGTCTATCATAATGCTTTCCTTTGGGCATTGATTTCAAGGACTTCTACAGCTATTTGCTAGGCTTTATTAGTTTAGATGGGAGATTTTAGAATGGTTAGTTATGGCTCGGATCATTGTCTTTTTGTATTCTTAGAAAGTTCTGCTTCTCATTATTTAAAAAAAATTGTGGTCCAAGCCCCTGCAATTCTGACAGTTTTAATTACTACCAATCAGAGCAGCTTCTTGTAAGAACCTTTAGGGGTTCCATTTGTACTTTTCATTCGTTATTGAAAATGTTTTCTGTTTGTGATCCGCTCCAAAAAGGATTCTGCAAGCTTTACCTTTTATATATGTATTTGTAGAGGTTTGATGAGGATTTCATGTCAGCTCCTTTTTATACATCATTTTTCCTTCTGAACAATTTTTTGTTTCTTATATATAAAGAAATAAAGAAGCATAGATCCTTCTGACATATCTTATTAGTGATAAATGCCTCCTTTGTATCAAATTCAATGAACTTGGTCTTAAATAAAAGAGATGGTTCATAAGCGTAATGGATTTGAACTCTTTTTTTCAGGGCTAATAGTGGTCGTGTTAAAGCAAAAGGGACTATTTATTTGTCAAATGTGCGCATGGTCTTTGTAGCAAGTAAACCAGATGCAAGCTTTATTGCATTTGACATGCCTTTGGTATGTACTTTCACTCTTTACGTTCATTTTCCTTCTTGATGCTTTTTGTTCTTAGCATTGTCTATCTTTTGAATACTAACTTGTGGAGTTTTCTCTTGCATAAGTGAAAGGGTTTTTAAATTCATAGAAAGATGTATTAAACATACTTCTTGTACTGAATTTTCTAACAGACATCCTTTGGTTGTGAATCTGTCTTTAAAGCTTTTAACATACCCCTGATTTTAAGTTTTTTCTTTTTATAACTTCTTCATATTTATTGCTTATAAAAGCAATCTTGGTTTCTAAAAAACTGTTTAAATTTCCCCAAAGACTGTAGTTTTCCTTCCTCAGATCACTCATATTTTCCATGAAATTTTACCTTTTGCCTAACCATAGATCCCCTTAAAGATTGAGTCTGTTTCTTTTTTAGCTCATTGCATCATTTTATTTTTCAAACCAAATTTAGACTTTTCACCATCTATCCTAGCAATTATCCTTGTACTTCATATTTCCTCGATAGCAGAATCATCCACAACACTCAACCGAAGTTCCCATTCTAATGCAATCAAGTGGAAATGGATTGTCATGGATCTTTGCCTCTGCGTCCTCTAAGATTCCCCAGACTCTTTCAGCAAATTTGGATGTGATTCGCCACAATTGACACTAGAGTCCTTGCTCCTAAGCAATCGTATTAATAATTTTTGAAGCACACTGAATGAATCCCTGCACAATTTCTCTCCAATTGCTTGGAAGATTTCTCTTTTCCACATCATCAAAGGGAGACCTCTCTTAATCCACCCCTATAGCAGGGAATACCTTCAGGCTTGTCGTGCTTTTGAGCACACCACCTTTCACTTTCATGCTCAAAGAAAAAGACACTCACAAGTCACATCAAAGCACCTAATATTCTGGCATTAATCTTCTACGTCCTTCTTACTCATATATCTTACCAGAGCTTTGTCAACATAGAAAGGATTGATCTTACAATCTTCACTAATTATTTCCTTTGAGTGCCCTAGACCTTGGAGCCGTCTTCATGGAAGGTGGGCCTTGTCCAAGCAATGATTTTTGTCCATTCAACTTCAGAAAATTTGCTGTCCTTATCTTTCTCCTTTCCCTCCATCTTTCTTCCTCCGAATCTGTTCATGTTTAATTTCTTTTGCACCCTGACCTTTTTTGTTCCTCTGACTTTCTTTGACAACTTGTCTCTCGATCTTCACTCCTGAATCTACAAGCTCTTGAACCTTCCAAGTGTTTTCCCTATAATCATTTGCATTACTGGGCTAGTCTTTCCTAGGAGTTCATCAACTATCTCCAAAAATCTCTCAAGCCTAACTTGTCTACTCCAGAAATTGCCGCTATACTTCTTTTCCTTCCTTCATTAGACAAGGCAGAAACCTTAATAAATGACCTGTACTGATTTGAAATTTCCTGTAGGCAGCAAGTTCCACATTCAAATCTGCCTTTGTTTGAAAAACTAGGTCCTATTCAGAAACGGTTTCGTTTTCAATTTTCTGTATTTAAAATTGTGCTTGTTTTCTCATTATTTCTGTGGTATTTTTAAACTTTTTTTTAACACATTTGAATTATTAGCCAAATTTCAAAAATAAAAATGAGTTTTGAAATATATAGCTATATTTTTTCAAAATTTAGCTTTTTTTCTTTTTTATAAGAAAGCAGCTTTCTTGAACAAATGAAAGAATGCGCAAGGGCAAACAAAAAAACAGGCATACAAACAATACTTGCCAAGAGGGACCCAAGCTTATAGAAAATAATCCAAAAGAATAATACCTAATTGATAATTACAAAATTTGACTTTATTTTTAAAACATTTTTAAAAAGTAGATAAGAAAACAAAGCAACTTGAAAGTAGTGTTTCTAAGCTTAATTTTAATAAACAGAAAACCAAAACCTAAAAGAAAAAGGGCCTTAACAATTTAGGGGGGATTTTTAGGTAGTTCAACCAATGATTGTTATATTTTTCCTCTCATGTAATTGCACGGACCTGAATTGCTAACCAATCTAATGAGGAAAGACTTTTTTTTGTACAAGAAAACAGAAGTAGAGAAGTTTTTTTGCCTTTTATCCACGAACGATTTCTAGAAAATAATTAGCTTAAGTTTTCCAAGTTTATTTTTCATTAAATGACATTGAATTACTAATTTTCATTTTAATTATGGAAATAAGTAAAAAAAGTACTACGTCATCTTTCTATTACTTCATTTTCCTTCTTTTCCAATAAACCAAATGACCTAAACGACTCAAATCAACTTCATTGAAATGTCACATGATTGGACGGAGTCTATTATCCAGCTAGAGTTAATTGGATTGATATATGTCAACTTGTTGAATCCACAACTCGAAGCAGCTGATGAATACTCCTATTACTAAACTCGTATAATCGTATTAACCATTTTTTCAGTTGTAATAGCTGTTGGATTGTGCTATTCTATATGGCATTTTGTTGTATGCATCACTATCTAATATTTTGGTATTTGCTTTTGCAGCTTTTTGTTCACGATGAGAAATTTAACCAGCCAATATTTCACTGCAACAATATCTCTGGATTTGTCGAGCCTGTAAGTGTGAGATCGCACCCTATTTAGTATTCCGAGTCCTACTTTAGAAGATACCCTAATTAATAGCTTTTACAGGTGGTGCCTGAAGACCAACACAGGGCTCTCTACTCGACACACTCGTTTAAGATTTTGTTCAAGGAAGGGGGATGTGGTACCTTTGTGCCACTCTTCTTCAATTTGCTGTCTTCAGTCAGGCAATATAGTCAACACATGAATGCAGGTCCCCGTGTCGACCCGTTGCAGGCAGCGCAAACTCCTGTTGATGAAATGATGAGACATGCGTAAGTAACGCTGATTCTTGTCAATCTCATGGTCAAGTTGGAACCTATTTGATTATATTTTCACTGTTTAACTTGCAGATACGTCGACCCTAACGATCCGACCAGGATCTTCTTACAGCAGCCAACGACGGAGTCCCAGTTAAGGAGGCGCACATACCAGTCCCAACCAGCTGAAAATGCTCTGTGAAGTTAGTTGTTGACGATGAAACGAATGAACGAACAGTTGTATAGTTGAAAGATGGGTGGTTGAGTTTAAAGTTAAGAGTTAGACCCAATTGTCATCTACTAAAGTTCAACTCAACTCCTTCAGTCTGTTATATTGGCTGTTGCTGGACGATAGCATTGACATAAAATAAAATAATAGAATGAATTATATGATGGTGTTGTGATTATAAGGCTGTAATGGTCTCTACTTCTACTTAAATGTAATGATTAAGTACTCATGTTTTTTCAAATTCAATTTAGGCTGTATTCTGTGTTTGTGTGTGTATATATAAACGAAAATAAATTGATTGAATTTGATGAACTTTCTTTTGCATACAATCATATTTTCTAAAACAGTCTTTATGAACTTGATATAAAAATTGGGTTAAATTATAAATGTGGTCATTGAATTTTGATGTATGATGATTATTGAATTTAGTCCAATGTAGTCCAAGTGGCATTTTATGATGAATGCAAGTGTTCTCTGTGTTTAAAAGGAAAAAAAAAAAACTAGTTTCTGAAGTTTTTAAGAAATATTCAATTGCATGTTTGAATGTTCAATTTTGATTTTAAGTGGTTCCGTTGCTAATACTATTGCTTAGATGTTGATGTGTGACCCGCTAATGTGATGGATTAGTGAGCATTTGTTCTTATGTTCTTTTGCAAGTTAAAAAACTGAGATCAATGCGTAATAGTTTGGAGGCCAGAATAAGTTTTTAGTTGATATGATTTTATCAATATTACCGTTGAGGGTAAAAATCGAGTAGAATGTGTGAAGCTCGAGTGGCGACATTTGGTAGTAGGGATCAATCCCCTACGAACATACGACCAATAGAGGGAGCGATGCTGGTTTTGGTAGAAGTCTATGTAGTTCCCGACACACCCTACTTCAAGACATCTACAGTGGATTAGAATGGCAGATGACACGAATGCTGCCATATGCTGGGAATGTCCCACGTAAGTGGATCCCACCACACCTAATATCAAATGTCTTCCCCGGTCAACTTCGACACCTATAAAAGGGACAAGATACCACGATCATAGGGTAAGTGAAAATTTTGTCACTAATCATGGGAGAATATCATGTGATGCGCTATCGAGATTTATCATTGTAGTTTACTTGTTTGACATATTTCAAGTGAAGGACATACGGATCTCCCGAATTCTAGCGTCATTATTAGTTAACAACAATAAATTGAAGGACATATAACAGAAAAGTTCTAGAGTTCTTATAACTTCGAGGTTAAGAAAAAAAAAACCTTCGACATTAAAATTTAAAAGTTAAGGGGGTGTTTGGTTCCTCGTTTTCAAAATAGGGAGTAGGGTTTGTCCATATTTATTTCACAGTTTTATAAACCCGGGTTTGCTACAGTAAATGCTATTCCATCCTAAATTTGTTATAGTAAATACTATTCCACTCCCCAAGTTGCTACAATATATATTTTGTCTCTATTATCTCTTCTAAAATGCATTAATTTTTTTAATTAAATATATTAAATAA